AAAAAAAAAAAAAACCCCCAAAACTGAAGGGGTAAACTTATTAAACCCATGAAATCCTGTGATTGGTTGATATTTTCCTATCATCAGAGACTAAATATGGGGGAAATGTCAAAATACTTGTACAATTTTAAAATTTCACAATTAAGCGTGAGCTGGTTCCCCCCCACACACAAAAAAACCTCTTGGCCTCAAGAGATCCTCCTGCCTCAGCCTCCCAGAGTGCTAGGATTACAGGTATGAGCCACCACACCCAGCTGTTTTTTTTCTTTTATTTTATTACTATGGTGTATTACATTGCTATACTCAACTAATTTTGCATTCCTAAAATAAATCCCACTTGGTCAGGGTATGTAATCCTTTTTTCATATGTGGACTGCTAATATTTTGTTGAGGATTTTTTGCATCTATTTACGTACAATATATTGGTCTGTAATTTTTGTATTTATTTCTTGTGAGATTTTTTTTCTTTTTCTTTTCTTTTCTTTTTTTTTTTGAGATAGAGTCTCACTTTGTTGCCTTCAGTGGAGTACTGTGGCATCCTAGCTCACAGCAACCTGTAACTCTTGGGCTCAAGCAATTCTCTTGCCTCAGCCTCCTGAGGAGCTAGGACTACACAACACCTGGCTATTTTTAGAGTTCTTACTCTGACTCAGGCTGGTCTTGAACTTGTAAGCTCAGGCAATCTGCCCACCTCTGCCTCCCAGAGTGCTGGTATTATAGGCATGAGCCACCGCACTTGGCCTATTTTGGTTTTTCTTTTTTTTTTTTTTTAGACGGGACTTGTTCTATTGCCTGGGCTAGGGTACAGTAGTAGCATTGTAGCTCAGTGCAATATAAACCCCCTAATGCCTAAACTCAAGTGATCTTTCTGCCTCAGCCTCTTGAGTAGCTGGCATATGCCACTATTTACACTCAGCTAGTTTGTTTGTTTGTTTCTTTTAGAGAAAGGCTCTGGCTATGTTGTACAGGCTGGTCTTGAACTTCTGGGCTCAAGCAATTCTGCCTGGTACTCCCAAATGCTAGGAAGCCACTGCTCCCACCTCCCTTTTTCTTTCTTGATTTTAGTAATTTCAATCTTCTCTATTTTTTCCCTTGGTCTGTCTAGCATTATAATTTTTTTGATCTTTTCAAAGAATCAACTTTTGGTTTTATTGATTTTTCTTTTTTCCTCTTCTCTATTTGGCTTATCTCTGTCCCAATCTTTATTTCCTTCCTTCTGCTTTTGTTAGGTTTAGTTTCCTCTTCTTTTTCTAGTTTAAGAAGAGAAGCCATTTGTCTCTGTAAGGGAAAGTCATTCTGGGCAGAGGGAATGGCAAATGCAAATATCTTTAGGCAAGGGTGTGACTGACATGTTCAGTGAATACTGAGGTCAATTTGGCTAGAAAAGATAATGTAGGATCTTTACAAAGCATCCTCACTAAAAACAATCCAGAAAATCTGCTTAAGCTTTCAAAAATTTTAGTCTGGGTGCAATGGGAAGCCATTGGAAGATTTTGAGCAGAGATGCAACTTAATATGATCTACATCTTAAAGGATGACTTTGACTGCTCTATTGAAAGTACATTATGGGGAGGGAAGGGCTGGACAGAGAGAGAATTAGGAGACTATTGCAATAGTTTAGGTGATATATTAGGCTGGCTTGGACAAGAGTAGCAGCAGTGGAGAAAGTGGGAAATATTTTCAGAGATTGGATGTCAGTGTGATAAAACAGAAACAGGAAGTCAAGATGACAAAGCTTTTGGTCTATGGACCTGGAAGAATGGATTTGTCATTTACTGAGCTAGCAAAGACAATGAAGGGAACTCTTTGTGGGGAAAGGGTTATTAGAAGCTTAGTTTTGCATATGTTAGGTTGGCTATGTCTAGTTGATATCCAAGTGGAAATGCTGAATAGGCAGTTGTTTTTTAGGTTTACTTTTTTTTGTTTAGTCAGAGTCTTCGTGCCCTGGGTAGAGTGTTGTGTTGTCATAGTTCACAGTAACCTCGAACTCCTGTGCTCAAGCAATCCTGCCTCAGCCTCCTGAATAGCTGGGACTACAGGCACCCACCACAACACCCTGGCTAGTTTTCTCTCTTTTTAGTAGAGATGGACTGTCTCTCAGGCTAGGAGAATAGGCAGTTGTACATGTAGGATTTTGGAGTCCAGGAGAAGGTGGGTTGAAGTTATGATTGGGAATTATCAGCATATGAAATGGTCAAGCTCTTTCATGATCATTATTGTGGGAGTGACAAAGAGATCTTTAAATAAACATACTCTATCTGACCCTAGCCCCAAACTGTCCCAGTGTGAGGCATGAGGCACAGGTTTTTTTTTTCTTTTGTTTGTGTGTTTGTTTTGAGACAGGGCCTGGCTGTTACTCAGGTTAGAGTGCTGTGGCATCAGCCTAGCTCACAGCAACCTTAAACTCAGCCTCCAGGGTAGCTGGGACCACAGGGGCCAGCCATGCCTGGTTAGCTTTTCTATTTTTAGTTAGAGACAGGGTCTTGTTCTTACTCGGGCTGGTCTCTAACTCCTCAGCTCAGGCAATCCACCTGCCTCGGCCTCCCGTAGTGAGGACTACAGGCGTGATCCACGGCGCCCTTTTGGTGCACAGTGTAGTTTAAGGGAGAGGTTGCCATTTAGCCACAGAAATAGGGAACAGAGGAAATGGTGCACTTCTGGGGAGAAGTTGGCGAGATCTATGTTAGACATGTTGCATTTGCAGTATCTGTGGAAGTGTCCAGGAAACATATATAGATATGTTATATGTTTGGGACAGTTTTGGGCTAGGGACTTGGCTTATGGTTGGTAACTAAAGCCACAGGAGTGGCTGAGATAGGCCAGGAGGAACGGTGAGTCTCTCCGCAGCTGGGAACAGGGATGACACATCTTCCCACATTTGTTTTTTATTTCCCTTAAGCGGCTGCCGTCATCACACAAAACGCCCTGTATCGATGGCTGCCAAAGAATACTTTTTATCTTTCACAGCTCCTCCCATCTCAGGACTGGGGTAGAGGGAGGACACACATCCATCCCCCGCCGGAGGCGGGCCTTAGCTGCGGTAGCGTAACTAGAGAGGCGGGCTAGGCAGTCAGCCTGAAGTCTGGGTTTCGCTGGCCCTGACCCCGGAAGCTCCTTTCCCCGCCGGTCCCCTGCAGCTGCTGTCCTCAGGCCAGCCGGAGCAGGCCGCGCTCGGCCAACAGGCCATCGGTGCGGTTATACACATCCTCCAGGGTGCCGGCGGCCCGGGCCAGAGCAAAACGCGCCTCCGGCTCTGTGGTTCCTGGACACGCCAGCTCGAGCAAGCGGCGGCGACCTGGGAAGGCGAGGAACGCCAGGCGGGCGGCCTGACGGACGAACCACGGGTGGTGTGGGCCCAGGGCCGTTGCGTAGGCGTCGCTGCACTGCGTGCCGGCGTCTGGGCCTCCGATCGTACCGGTAGCCACTCGGTGGAGGCAGAGTTGGGACCAACGCAGCGCGCGGTGCAGCAAGAGCAGCGTGCGTGAGCCGGATGACTGGGAAGAGTCCTGGAGGACGGGCCCGGGCGGCTCCAGCAGGCCTGCCCGCCGCTCCCAGGCCGCCATGGCCGCCAGCGACGTGTAGTGCTCCGCGTCTGGGCCGTGCACCCGAGCCTCGAGGGCTGTCACCTTGGTGAAGGCCTCGCTTGTGGCGAAGGTGAAGATGGAGCCGAGGGGAGTTAGGAAGCTGTATGTCGGTGGCAAGATGAGGGAAACCATTGAGAAAGGGCGATGGAACGACAAGGAGAAGGGGAAAGGCTGGGGGAGGGGCGGGGAGACCACTCACTTGACCAGTTCTCTCCATCCTGCTAAGTACTGAGCCAACTCTATATCCCCTGGTGGGTTCAGACTGGCTCGGAATGGCCTCATCATGCGGCCCAGTCTCCCCTGAGGTTCCAGACAGGGAAGCTCTTCTGAAGCCACCAGGGCTCCCGACTCCTGCTGTACCTGGGGGGTTAGATATGAGGGCAGGTGGCAGGCACAGAGCTTGTAGCCTGCTAGGAGTATAGTCCAGTTCTAAAGAACTTGTTCCGAACGTCTAGCTGGTGTCCCTCCTGCTGTACTCTCAGCTTCTTATGGGAGAGGGGAGACGAGAGGAAGGACCTGCCCTTGGCCAGATGCTCAGCCTGGCTCCGCTTCTCCCTGCTCAGGCACCCATCTGGAGCTCACAGGCCCAGCCTTCCCTGAGCATACCTGGAAGGGTGGTGGTCCCTCTCGAATGCAGGCCTGTGTCCAGGATCCACAGCCTGAGAGAGTGCCTGGGGAGAGGAGGAGCATTAAGAGCAGGAGAAGGGAAACTTGGACTTCAGAGTTCCTCCCCAAGGGGCTGAGGGAACTGGACACTCACCCAGGCTCCGAGCACTGAGATAAAGAAGTAGCATTGTGAAGATAGCAATAGGAATTGAATGGCGGAACCAGTGCCACCGGACCAGGGGCCACACAGTCACCTCCATGGCTGCAGCTGGGACCACCACCCCCTTACCAGCCTCTAGCCAGCCCTGTCCCTCTGCCTTAAGGAGAGAGAAGCCCATGGTGCCCTAAGGCTTAAAAGGGTTAATAATTAACATACTG